TCACAAAAGGAAGCAGTGTGTTTGAGGTGTGCCTTAAAATACATCCACAGGTGTGCCTCCAATTAACTCAGATGTTGTCAATAAACCTATAAAAAGCTTCCAAAGCCATGGCATCATCATCTGGACTTTCCCAAACAGTTTGAAGGCATAGTAATCTCAGTGTATGTGAACTTCTGACTTTGACGGAAGTAATAAAAAAAAAAACTGTAAAAAAATATTTCTCTCATTATTCTGGAATTTTCCAAATAGAAATAATGTTGGTAATCCTAACTGACTTGAAACAGGACAAGTTTAGTCTGATTTAATGTCAGTGAGAGAAAAAAAGGGTTTTATGTCTTTTTACACAGTGTATGTGAACTTCTGGTTTCAGCTGTAGAACACTTCCTTCTTTGCTGTAGGGTTGACTGATGAATGCACTCTTTGTCATTTTTGCTCTTACTTTATGTGAAACTGTTTCTAATTGGTGAAGAAGTGAAACATTCTCCATTTAGACTGATATGATTTCAGTCCTAAACCTCTGCATCCGTTGGAAACTGGATCAGATTAAAAGCAGGAACAGGAAGAACAGAGAAAGAATCCAAGTCATCCACCTGGAAAGGTGGATTTGTTGTTTTTGGGGAGAATTGGGGGGATTTCCATTTGGATGGTGACATCAAGTGTGTTTGGTTCAACAGTAAATAAAAACTCAGATTCCCGCGACGTTCCCACTGTGTCCGTCTTCCTTGGATGTGTCATAGACGCCTCAGGCAGGATCAGCCGATCTTCCATCCTGCAGCGTTTTCCAGAGTACTGGACTGGGCCTCATTTGCATAGAACTCATTTGCAAGACAAATTCGACTTCTATCTCTCTACCTGGTGTGTGTGCAGGTTTCTATTAGATAGAGGCACGTAGCTACATCTGGGTGTTTTGTCATTTAATGGGGATTTTTAAAAAGTTGTTATTTGATAGTTTGCTAGATAGAGCAGGTCTGGTGCCGCATTTTGCAACCGTTCATGCAGAAACTTGCAGCCACATCGCAGAAAACATGAATAATCTGTTTTTACAGAGAGCCTTTTAAAGTCCAGGTTAGAAAGTGCTTCTTAACTAGAACAGAAAAGTTAGAAAATCTTAAGAACTTTAAAGCGATGAACACATGACAAGGTGTACAAAACCAGCACAGTGTTAAAAGATGTAAAAACATGACTGAATGTGAACTAAAAGACATTTTAAACTAAATCCAAACTCAAATAAAATCTGATCTAATTAAATATCCGTCACACTCATTTTCAAAATACAACAGAAAACATATTCAAATTCTCAGTATATTTTTATTTTTAGCACTTTTTTGACACTTCATGGTGCATTTTTCACTTTAGTGCATTTTTAATAAAAGTATATTTTATACTTTATTGTGCATTTTGTGCATTAATATATCTGTTTTTTTATTTCTAGTTTATTTGTATTTACTGTTTCTGCTTGCTACAGTAACAACAAAGTTTCCTCTTGGGGATCAATAAAGCATTTCTTTTCTATTCTATTCTTTTCTATTCTATTAAATCCATTGTTGACTTCATGCACCTGTGCAGGATTTCTTCATACATTTCCATGAGCTTTAACTAAAACTTTATACTGGTTGTAGTGTTTCTGACTGTTTCCTGGTGAACCTAAGTATTTTGCAAACAAAAAAAAAAGCCCAGTATATGTGCAACTTTCAGGATACTACCACACCTCAGGCAACAGATATGCAAATCAACCATGTCTGGATAGCAACATAAACAACTCCTCATTGGACACTCTGTGTGACAAAATCAAAATTCCTCCACTTGCATAAAGCCTTTCCCGCCCCTTCACCTGCGAACCAGTGGAGCAATGTTTCGGGTACATGCAGATTTCCGTCATTTTCTCCCGTTTTTCCTCAGGCTGATCCTGCAGATAAACCTCCTCCTCTTTCAGGACTCGCGTCCTGTTTGTTCAGTCCCACCCAGGACGATGCTCTGCCTCCGTGTCAGCTGGTCACCTGTGCAGGGTTTTGATTTGCTCGCGGCAGCAGCAGGCCTAACTGTTGCAGAGGATCAAAACAACAGACCCCACCACCCGCTGCAACAGCAACACATTTTGCATAAAGACCTCTGATTTGTTTGCCAGACAGTAACCCTCACGTCTCATCTCATCCCTCCACACAGACACTGATTTTGGCAGCAGAGACGCAACATAGGTGAAACAGTTTTGCACAAATGTTGGTAATATGCAGATGAAATATGTACAAATAAAACAAAAGCTTAACCTCCTATTATATGAAATGAAAAATACTTTGTTTATCCCAGAAGGGAAATTCAATGAAATTCAAATTCAATATCCTGCTTGTAGAAGCCAGTGATCTTTAGTTGTTCATTTGAGTGCTTGTATTCTTCCACTGGCAGTTGAGGTTGGTCACTTCTTGTGAAAATCTGATATCGTGACTCATTACTGAGTAAAGTTTATGCCTGATACAACCAAGATTTCACACAGTCTCCTAGAGATTAAAGAGAGACAAGAGAAAAGAGACAAAAATGACTGTAAATCATGTCAAACTACCAAAAATGTACAAAATTTGTCCACAGAGACACAAAAAGACTAGAAATAGACAAATCTCAAAGTTAGAAATGAATGGGAGTGATAGCATTTTTGTTTTCTATACTTTTATAGATACTAAACTACAGGACCCTCAGTAGAGCGATGTAGATGTACATCGCTTTGGATAAAAGCATCTGCTAAATGAAATCATAGAATTGTTGGATATAGTTTCCCCTACCAGTCATGATTGCACTGAGCCCCAGTAAACCATCATTCTGTCCAATTTACCATAAGATAGATGTTTCCTTTCACTAATCATGGTTGGCTGGTTGTGGGTTCTATCCATGTACACATTAAGTCCATCCATCCATTATATACACACCGCTGGCAGTCCTAGAAATTTAATAAATAACTTTAAGTTAAAAATGGTCTATTCTGGCTCTGATGCAGCAGCTTCTCTCTATTCATAGTCATCACTCTGTTGTCTTGAACAATGTTGTGGCTGCATCCTGATCTGACCGGTTACATGTCATGAGTAATAGTCAGTCAGCACTGACGAATAAATGTTTATAATCTTTATCTTTTACGTAAACACTTGTAAAACAAGTAACATAACACATTTCCAGGGATCATCTAGCTGTGAGGTGACGGTGCTAACCATCAACCCACCATACAGCCCCTATACATTACATGTTATTTAAAATCATAACAATATCAGCATTTTGACCTTGAAATATCACCCAAGGTCAGACCTTGCATCCCCAGTGGGAAGCCTATATATGGTTTGTCTATTTTGCACTGTTTTCAAGTTACAGTTCAGTCAAGATTAATGACCTTAAGCGTGACCTTGACATATCATCCAAGGTCAAATGTAACATCACCAACAGAAAGCCCCAACATGGGTGCTTATCTGCACCAAATACCATAAATCTACCTTACATCCATTTTTGAAAATGTGACCGTTGACCTTTAAAAATCTAATCATTCTGAGGACAGACCATCCCGAATTCACCTGTAAAATATCAACTTGTTGGACCTCAGAACTCGAGCTAGAGACTGTTCAGATGATCAGACCACAAAAAAATCTAAAGTTGAGTTTTTTTTTTTTTTGATAAGTGTTTATGGTCTACTAGTTGGTGGCAAAGTGGTCCAGCCAACAGCCCACAAGTAGTGTCACAGAGTGACTTTGAAGTTTGGCCCATGATGGTTTAGGCATGAAAATTTAGCGGCACACTGGACCGAGTCCCAGGAACTGCTGACCGTTATATCGCAGGTAGTTGCAATGTGTTTGTGATTCAAGATGGCAGACAGCGTGACGTCAAGCCCCGAGAAATAAAAACTTAATGAACCACCACCAAGCATCTATTTCTACCCCATGTTCCTCAAAAGTATCTCTAGTTCCTTATGATGTAAACTCTTCAGTGCTGTTTAGCGAGACAAACCTTGAATTTGTTCTCAAAAAGTAGAAAATGTGGCATAGCCCGCTTTGGTACTCAGCAAAAAGAAAGGCAAAATTAACACCTAAATAAGTCATCACAGAGTAGATGTTTCTATCTCTGGACAGCGCTGAAACATCTTTGGATGCATATAGTGACTCCTTAAACAACCAGGATTGTTTTTAGCAACATAAACTTTTGATGTCCACTTTGGCACTAAACCCCTTCAGTTGCTCTATAGCTGCAACTACAATAAGATGTAATCCATAGATGGATAGAACCCATTTACCTTGGACAACCTGCCAATCATGATTAGTGAAAGAAAACACCTATTTTGTGGTAAATTGGACGAAATAATGGTTTTCTGGGGCTCAGAGCCGTCATGGGGCAATAAAGATCTGACACAGTCACTCATTTTAAGTCAACTTTTAGCCGAAAAACTGAACTTTCATCGTGTTACGTCAAATTCAAACCCGTGTTTGTTGTCGTTGCTGTCAGATTTAGAGGCTGCAGGTGATGATCTGATTTGCCTTGAGCAGCTTAACGTCCTGACAGGTTCGGTGTTTGAGGAAGGTGGTGAGTCTTCGTTTGTTTGTGGAGTTAAATCCAACAGGCCGGCTGGGCGTGGTGACAGTTGACTGAGCAATCAGTCCCTTTTCCGCGGCCTCCTATTAATCCCCGTATCAGACTTGACGTATGTAAGGCCGAGCTGCAGCCGCACCGGATCCTCTGAAGGGCGTGAGGCCGACATCGACGGACAGTTTGTGCAATTTTGATTTTTTAAAACTGAGATTATGGAGCTGATTTTGCCGCCGAGCAACAACAACTAACGCGTCACGCCAGTCGGGAGCCGATATCTTCCTAGTTTCAGATTTGCATGGCGCTCCAGGTGTGCTATTTGAATGCGGGATTATTGCTCCACTATCTGGTGCTGCTGATTTCCACCCGAGGCCATTATTCTACATCCTGCTGTTACAGGAAAGTGAGTCAGAAAAACACACAGAAAGAGTCAAACAGGGAGAAAAACTGTGTTTACGGTGCTCAAACAGTGCGTTTCTCAGTTCGTCCTTTATTCAGCAACCAGTTTACATCACACAAGCAGAGTTTAAATATAATATACAAAACTGAGATGAATCTCAATGACATTTCTCCCTTTTATCCACATGTAAACACTTTTTTTAAAAAAGATTTCCTGCAATATATTATATAATACATAGGTTAAACTGCCTCCAGTCACTCCTGCATAATCTTCCACATATTTAAATTACATCAGATAGAAACTTCTTCCACGTGTTAGACTAAAGCTGTCACTTCATGCCGTGTTGGCTCTCGTGGTGCCGGCGGAGATCCACCTTTCGCTGGAAGCCCTTGGAGCAAACGTCGCAGCCAAACGGCTTGAAGCCCGTGTGCTTCCTGCTGTGCGTGATCAGGTTGGAGCTCTGGCTGAACGCTTTGCCGCACACCTGGCATTTGTGGGGCTTTTCGCCTGCAAAATAAAGCGCAAAAGAGAAAAAGAAAGCAGTGAGAAATCAGTCACATCTCTCGAGTGATTTCCCTCCGGCGTCCTCGCCGTGCCGCCGTGACCCAAAATGGTGCCGCGAGAAAGAAAGTTTGCATGAACATCCAGGAAAGAATCGCGCCATTGTTCAGATTTGTCAAACGTGTTCCTTCTACGGCGCGAAGCAGGAAAACCAGATATGCAAATCAACAGGATATTTGTTTAAGCTTCTTTTTTCTGATTTATCAGCAGTTATATTACTCCTGGAAAACTGCTGCACCTGGAAAGTAGATAGCTGCGGCAAGAGGCAGGTTAATAAGAGCAGAAAAGGATGAGCGTGCTCACCGGTGTGAATGTACGTGTGCTTCTTCATGTCAGACTTCTGGTGGAACCTCTTGCCGCAGTACTGGCAGGGGTAAGGCCTGGTGTCCGAGTGGATGAGCAGGTGTGTGGACAGAGTGGACGAGCGCTTGAAGGATTTGCCACACATCTTGCACTCGAAGCTTTTTTCCTGAATAAGAATAAAAGAGCAAAACATTATCAGTAAATGAGCAGGATGTCAGGAAGAGTCAGTGTCGACTCCAGGAGGGGATTTGGGAGATTTAGGTCCTAAAACATGGCGTTCATTAAAAGATGGTGTTTGACTGTTTGTCAGAGAATCATATGTGTTCAAATTTATTTTTATTCTTCTAAAATATTTTTTCTATCATTTTCTTTTTATAAAATTGTTTTATTCCTTTGTTTTAGATTTTTAAAAAACTATTTAGATCTTATATTTAAAAGAAAATTATTGGCTTATTCCATGATTTTAGTTTTCTGTTATTTTATTTCATTCATTATTTTGTTGCCGTCTTCCATTATTATTTTTTTTTTTTTAGTTTAATAGTTTTTTTTAAAAATTGTTTTATTCCATAATTGTTGTGTTTTTATGATCTTATTCTATGATTATCTTTTGTCTTTTTAATTGATTCAACTTGGTGCGTTTTCAGCTAAGTTACTTCAACAACTAAAGAACAAATCTTTAACATAACTCAGAAAAAATAGGAAACTACCAGTTTTAAGGCAGCAGGACAACTGATTTTAAACATTAATGTTGGTTTACTTGTTATGAGCACGGGTTTTCTTGAAGGATTCAAGGGATATGTCTCCCTTAGTGAGCAGTATATGTACATTTGTCAGTAAAAACATGAAAAAAACAGACAAAATCTATAATAAAAAGGCAGAAAAAGTCCTTTTTTTCAAAAAAAACAAAAAACAAACAAAAAAAAACAATAATACAAGCTGTAATGTTTTGTTTAAAGCTTAAAAACCTTCCTAATATTCATACGAAACATGATTGTGATGAGTACTGCAAAAGACCATGTTAACAAACAAGACACTGAAATATGAAGGAACACAAGGCGAGGAGAGTACAGTTAGAAGAACTGCATCATGGGAAGTGTAGGATTCTGCAGTCTTGATGACACTAAATTACAAGATACACTAACTGTGTCTCCTCTGGAAACCTCTTCAGAATGACATCTTTGATGCTTTTTTCCTTTTTTAGAGGCACTCTTTCTGTCTGTCTTTCACTGATGTACCTGTGAGTGGACGTTCATGTGTTGCTCCAGACTGACTGCGTGACCGAAGGTTTTCCTGCAGATGCTGCAGCCAAAAGGTCTCGTCCCACTGTGTGACCTCCTGACATGAACCTCGAGTCCGTGAGGCGTCGAAAACACCTGAAACACAGTCAGTCCTTCAATGGAGGCTGCAGACGAAACTGAAAACAGCCTGAAATACATCCACAGATGCCAAACTTTGCCTGATTGACTTCAGATTTGAGACGTGGCATGACGACAGAAGCTGCACAACAAACTCTAAACTGAATCTGCACCTTGTCGCAGGTGATGCAGTGGTAGGTGTTGGAGGTGGGGGAGTAGTGGGTGCTGCAGTCCAGAGGCTGATCCGGCTGTGGGCTGCTTCTGATGTGGCTGCCGTACAGACTGCTGGCGTGCTGCAGCACCGTGGGGCTGAAACTCATCTGACGGAGCTCGTAGGACGGAGACACCGGCTCCCAGCCGTATGCAGACTTGTAGTACGGTGGAAACTCAGCCATTGGAGGCTCTGAAAGGGGACAACAAAGCATGTTTTTACCTCTATTATGCAAGATAAGAAAGGGTTCTCAACATATAGCAGCATAATGTCATGCTGCTAACACTGGAAAACCTTCTGCTTTACTAGTATGTACATTTATATTTGAATTTCCATCTGTTCATCTACCTAAATAAACACATTTCCACTTTGAGTTGCTGCAGAAATTTCACCAGAATGCAAGAAAAGAGTGTCTGATGTTCACAGTTTTTAAATATGAAGTTGCCAGAGCTCACCAGTTATGTAATACGGCTGTGTGGGAGCCACAGGAGGCCTGGTGGGCTCTGGGTGAACAGGTAAAGTGCATCCACGCTCTGCTTCGTCCTTCACAGGTGAGCAGCGACCTGCTGGTGAAGACTGAGGCCTCTCTGAGGAGTCTGTGGTCTGGAGCTCCGGTGGGGTTTCTGAACATCAGCATGAAATTAAAGAAGAGTCAAGAAAAAGATACTTGAGGGTGTAATTATAGAGAAAAAAAATCCATTTGGTTAAAAAAGGAATATCTGCAGTTATTATATATAAGACTCCAGTATTAAAGTAATAATAATAATATTATCAATAATAATAATAATAATAATAATAATAATAATAATAATGATAATAAAAGAAGTCTAGTTGCTCTCAACTGAAGATTTTAGCACTTAAATAGGAAACATAAATTAACAAATTAATTATTATCAGAGTCATTTTTTTATCATCTGTAATAAATAGAATCGAAAAATCTCCATATTGTTCAGTTAAAGTGTGCAGCAGTCATTTAATTCGCATATTTAGGTTAAATTATATATATTTTTAAGCCTTACCAGCACATATGAAGGCCTTCTGCTCGTCCTCATACGATCTGTGCACATTATAAGACCTTTTGTGCTTCACCAGAAATGAACGAGGCATGTCGGTCCTGCAAGTGATCAGCAACACATCGACAAGTTTATAATGAGGTAAGAATTTAATTAAAAGCAGTCATCTTGTTAAGTAATATAAATAAATTTAAAAGAAAATCATTTTAAAAATATAAATACGAGTTTAATCGTTCAAAAAATACAATTTACGTCATCTTTCTCTTTAATTCCAACTTCTTATAATTTAATTAATGCTGCTTTTAAACATATTTGTAAGATTTTCCACATTGTGTAACATTATTAAAGTTTTTTTTAAAGTTTAAGTCGTGTTTTGTTTTTTTATATACAAGTTTACAGTCGATATTAAACGATAATTCCTGTTAAAGCTACTCACCGTTAACTGAACAGCCTCCACACACCAAACAACTGATAAATAAAGTTTTCTTTGGAAGAAAATTCGTCCAGTTGAGGAGAGAAAAAAAAAAGAAAAATCCGTTTCCTAAAAAGTTCGGAAAGCAAAGCAGCGTTAAAACATCCACTTGTTGCTCTGTGTGTGTGTGTGTGTCTCCCCTCCCTGATTTTCAATCAGATAATTCCGCAGCAGAATCTGACTGTGGTTGCAGCCAATGAAAAGGCCACGAAGCTGCTGCAGCATTTGCTTAGAACAACAGAGAAGCTGCGGAACAGTTAGTGACACAAAACTCCCTCAGAGAGCACAAAGGGACTGGAAAAACACTCCTTCATACTTATACAGCTAAAGCAGCTAAATAAAAGCTCATTACTTTATATTTGCATGCCAGAATTAGCTCAAAAACATCAATAAATGTAATTTTAAAACAACAAAAAGTAGAAATATAGGTAAGAAGTTCCAATGAAACAGGCAGCTAAATGTTCCCAATGTTTGATTTACTGGATTTACTTGAAGTCATGTTGTATGACTGTGCAGGATTTAAATGAGCAACACATCGTATGAGACCGAAGCTCCTCCAAAGACACACAAACCCGACGTGTCCGGGAGATTAACGCTGTTGACTCTTTATTCTGCTTTTACTGAAACATGCAGCAGACAGACAGATTTCTGCTTTACAGTCACACATGTAGGAAACTGGGATATTTATTTAGGGGGAAAACTGTTAAAAACAATAATATCAGCTTGTTAAATGGCATTTAAAACAGGTGAGAATTAATGAGTGAAGATTTGCATTAAGGAGAAAAGTGCAGGTGCGACATCTAGTGGACAAACTCAATTCCTGCACTTTGACTGGCTTTAGGGACGTTCAAGTTCACTTGGAAGTTAATAAAGGATTCAAATTCATCATATTAATGACATAAATGTATATAAAAGTTTCAGTGAGTATTTCTCCACACATTTTAAACATATACATGCACGTTTTCTTGATGTTATATGTGTTTTGCTACAAGTAAATATGGATAAATATTGCATAAAAGTTCTACTTTTTAAATTACCTGCATATAAACTATGTATGCAAACCACAGCATTCATGCATTTATACATTTGTACATTTAAAGCTGTCACTACAGATCGTCTGACTGCCTTCAGGTGGAGCTGCCTGCTAAATGTTTAATTATGTTTATTGTTATGCTGTATTTATTCGTTTTATAATGTACCAGGACCGTCTGTTTTTCTTTCACCTTATTTACCTTATTATACTAGTGGAGTTTTTTCTGTTTCACACATGACCAGTGCTACTAAACAATGAGCACTACTGATTTTCTTGTGAATTTTGGAGAGATGATAAAATTCACATTGTGCAGATTTTCTAATGCTTGTAGCAGCAGATCGTACAATATTAAAACTAGATGTAAGAATAAATGCAGCCTCGTATCCATCATTGTGGAGGACACTGCATAGACTTACAGTCGTCCTCAAATTTAATCATGCTCTTCCATTAAAGAAAAGGCAAAATTCCCAATAGTCACTCAAATAGCCATCCATCCATCCATTATCTATACACCGCTTAATCCTCACTAGGGTCACGGGGGGCTGGAGTCTATCCCAGCTGACTCAGGGTGAAGGCAGGGGACACCCGACAGGTAACCAGTCTATCACAGGGCTACACTTAGAGACAGACAACCAAGCACACTCACATTCACACCTACAGACAATTTAGAATCACCAATTAGAGAACCCACGCTGCACAGGGAGAACATGCAAACTCCACGCAGAAAGATCCTGGGTGTCCTCACCAGGACGTGAACCGGCGACCTTCTCGCTGCGAGGCAATGGTGCTACCAACTGCACCACCCTGCAGCCCCATATAAGAACCTTGTTGTCATTTTCTGTTTGGTTGTAATTTCTTCTGTCTTCCTCAATCTTGCAACATTTGCAAAAAATATCATGCTTTTATTGTAGAATAAAAATCTGAACAATTGGTTCTGTTTCCTAAGTACATCCTCAGTCCTGCTGTATTTTGTATTTTGTCTTTTACACATTTGAATTTTCTTTTTCAGTTTTGTCTGTAAAGTATTTTAATAAACCTTCTGTGTGTGATAAGATGCTAAATAAATATAGTAGTAGCAGCTTTGTTGTCATTAAATTGGCGTCAGAAATCATTATAATGAAATTGCATAGTGCTCCTGAGGCATAAAAACATTTAACGCAATTAAAAAAGAAACTATTTAAGACAATCTTTCGCTGCATGTAACAACATGACATCAACCTTTGGAGGGTTTTTTGGTGTTTTAAATCCAGTATGATCCTCAATTTAGTTTCAGTCGGAAGTTTTAGTCAGAGCTGAAGAACAGTCTGGCTGCATCTCATTAACTTCCTGCTATAAATGCAAAAAATCCTGCTCTGGCTCATTTGTGCCTCTTTAAACCAATCCCAGTCATCGTGGGTGGAGCTCAGCCCAGGATGTGGTGATGGTGTCCCTGCAAAAAAGTGACAGGAGAACATTTGCACACAAGGAGACGAACACTGTCATAAAAAAAGGCTAATTTACCAGCAAAACTGTCTGTTTTCAACATGTAGGCTGCTGCTTGGAGGTTGTTGCTCATTTAGACAAACAAAAACATGATCATGAACACTAAATTCTATCATTTTTTTCTCCAGCTTTCATGTGAAAAGTCCACTTTGCACTCCGCCTCCCCCTGAAAAGTTAATTTAAACGAACTTGCTTTTTGCGAGCAGGAAGCGAGGACACAGTTTACTGAGGAGATTCCCTTCATGTGGGCTGCAGCGTTATTAGGCCCAGCCTGAGCCAACACGGCGCACAAAGTGGACCACAATCATATCAGCTGTATCATTACGTTGTTTTCCTGAAGAGCCGCGCAAATATTGAGTCTTTTTCAGTGATTGTTTGCCAATTTTGTGCAATAAATGTGAGAGAGAGGGAGAGAGCAGTAAAATGTCCCCCGAGCTGCTGCTTTGTTGTTCCTGCTTTTATTTTTATGTGTGCTGTTGTCAATGCTGCTTGTGCACAACATTCAGCTTTGTTTTGCATTAATAACTACCATTTGTGCATGAATTGGGATGTTTATTTGAGACGGCAGGACTTTTGCAGACTCTGTTCTTGCTCTAGTAAACAAGTTAGTTAGTAAAAAAGCATTTTGTGGTCTCTTAACAAATTATTCAGTGTGAAAGTGGTTAAACAAAACATGTTTGGCTCAAGATTTCAAGAATTAACACGACAATTTTGACAAAAATTCAAAAATAAATAGCATGAAATAATGAGGGGATGATGGTTTATATGCAAAAGGTCAACCTCACTCTCTGCAAACACACTTTTCTAATCATTGTTTAACAGAACAGCTCAGGACCAGAAGGAGAGATTGTCACCATATTTCACATTCAGTGGAATTAGTAAGATTAATTCTGGATCTTTCGAACTGTGCTTATTATTCAGTCAAGATGTGCACTGCTGGATTTAAGGTGAGGCATCCACCTTTTATAATTTGTCACTTCTTTGCATCCACATTTGAAGCATTGTCTGCTGTCATGGCTACAACCTGGAATCAGACTTCTTTTTTATTTGATTTATTTCTATCAATGAATTTAACTACGTGTGTTCTATTATAGGAGCAGACATGAGTGTAAATTGCAGCTTGACAACATGTTAATTCTAGTTTATTAACATAACACCCACCAGAGACATTTACTCATCTCTTGTCTTCAGATGCACTTTTGATATAATAATCCCATCGCTGCAAATCTTTGTCATCAAGTGGAATCTATTTAGGACTGAAGTGAAGAAGCTGCAAAGACATAACTTGTTGCATCATTAAAGAACTTTTTAAAAAATCTAGTTGTGATGTGTCAGTCTTTCAAAATCAACTTTAACCCCTACATGACATTTGACAGCAGTAAAAACACCTTAAACATCTTTTAGCCTGAAATTTGATGACTTTTCCTAAAGTGACCCAAAATACACAAAAATGAAAATATTTTAAAACGTTATACTTTTGTACATGTTAACGTTCAGTCAGACACGGATCCAAAAATGCAACACAGGGTTAGGAGTGAAGAAGAGAGGGATTTATTCAAGGCTGTGGGGAAGCAGGGGACACCGGGAAGCTCGTGAGGGAAGCCGAGTGAGGGAGGGAATTCCAGGGGAGGTTTCCAAGAGGGACCGGGAGGCAGGACGGCTGAGGCTGGGGTTCGGCTGCTGGAGCCGGGCTGGGGAGGCGACGATCCAACGGGGAGGTTCTGGCAACAAACGCAGACGAAAACAAACGTAAGACAAAGCGAGTTTCACAAAGTTTCTAAGCACACTGCTGGCCTGTTATCACTCAAAGGAGGATAATCTACAGGTGCTGGAGCACAGGTAGAGGCAGGCTTTATCCAGCGCTGATTACTAATGCGCCACAGGTGTGGAAGAGCGTGAGTGAGACCTGTCCTGTCCTAAAACCCCACCCAGCCTGAAACACACTTGCAGCCACCAGAAACAACAAGCACATACACTAAATAAAGTCTCACATGAAAAGCACAAAAACTCTGATCACCACAGGACAGGTGCTTCAATGTTTGTACACTGAGGCTGATTGGGGTCAAATTTGACCACTGAGATGGATTTTAGATCTACCAGTGTGGGTCAAATCAAGGAAAATGATGGCTTTAGGGCAGGGGAGTCCAATCCTGGTCCTCAAGGGCCACAGTCCTGCATGTTTTAGATGTTTCTCTCTTCCAACACACCTGATTCAAATGATCAGCTCATCATCAAGCTGTGCAGAAGCCTGATAACGATCCTGATCATTTGAATCAGGTGTGTTGGAAGAGGGAAACATCTAAAACATGCAGGACTATGTGTATTTTTATTTGCATTATTAATGTGACATTTAGACATTCTAAATAGATCTGTAGTTTACAATTAGACATGGACACTTACTATGAGGGAATTCTTGACAGGAATTCTTCACTACTCTACTATATTCTACTGTGAAGGCACAAAATATTAACAGAATGTAAGGCTTAAATCAAACCTGTAGTCAAAACAACCACAGTAAATTCATTTGTGTCCCTCACAAGTGAGAGATACAAACACTAGGATTCTTCTTCCTCCAACACTCGCTGATGTTTCATCCAGTGTTTATCGTGTT